AGAAAGAAAGAAAGAAAGAAAGAAAGAAAGAAAGAAAGAAAGAAAGAGATGAAGCTGACTGTCTTTGGCAGCCCGAGACCTCAATCCTGTCAGCCCCCCAGCCCACCCATCATGCCCATCCCTCCCTCACTGCTCACTGAGGGGAAGGCTGTCAAAAATCAAGCCATTCCCCTTTCATCAGCTGAGCCCGTGACAATAATAATGTCCCTGGACCTCTGTCCTTGCTCTGGTCTGTGAGGTGCTTTGGAGCTGTGCTTCCAACCCCCGTAGGTTGTCATGGTGTCTGCGGCTCAGACTCCTCACTGGACAGAGCAGATGACTGTCTCCATGGCAATAAAAAGAATCCGGGGAGGAAAGACATTGGCCTTGGAAATGAACTCTCAGGAGCCCTCCTGGGAAGTTAGCTCTTCCTGGGAGGTCAGGAGAGATGCCCCTCCTGGAGACAGTGTTCCTTAGCCATTTCAGCAGCCTTGGGAAGCCCAGCTTTCTAACAGTGGGGCCACCATTTCTGTGTACCCTCCAGCCATGGAGGATGCCGACTCCAGAGCCAGGGATCAGGAGAGGAGAGCATGGTTGAGAGGGGGAGCCCCTGACCTGGTCGTGCTGCGTGGCCAGCGCCCCTGCCCACCCTGCTCCTCCTCGAAGTCTCTCTCCTGTCTGACGGGACCCTGGACCCACTCCTGCTTGCTAAGCTGTGAGCTGATACAGATGAAAACGTTATCTCCCTTGCCCCAAGATCCTCGTGCGGTATCACACCACCTTCCATAATGACCCAACACGTCTCTACTGGGCCACTACAGTCTTGGGGAGACATTTCTGCCCTGCGTGTGTGTCTTTGTCTCCTGCTCTTCACAACATGCATCTCAGCTTCCACACAGTTCAAGCTCACTGGACAGCAGGGAGGGCCCTAGGGTTCTTTGAAACTCCTAGTCCCTTTCTCAACCCGCACCCGTGCGCCTGGCATCAGGCGAGGCTGGGTTAGGAGAGACGGCCTTGGCTACCTCTGCCTCCCAGGCAGGAACCACTTCCCCACCTCCCTCAGGCACCCAGTGACTCCTTCTCTGCCCACCCCTCCCCATCAATACTTGCTTTCACTCAGGGATTTAGAAACCCATTCACACTTGAATGTGAGTAATAACAGATGAAAGTATATTCTCTCAGGGAGATCAGAAGTTGAACTGTAAGGAATGAGCTCCTAAGTGGAATTTCAGGCACCAATTCAAAGGACAAGTGCCACAAGAGTAGGGTTTGGACTTGACTCTTAGAAAGGAAAAGAGAGAAGCCATGTGGATCTTCTTTCCTCCCAAGCATTTCTTTGCACTTGCTGACTCCCTCGGACAATAAAGGGTTTGTTTTGTTTTAACTTCTATTGCTAAAGCCAAGGAATGTGATTTCTCATAAAATTCTGCTACCCCAAAGCGAGGTGTGCTGTCACCACAGGGGACTTTACCTTCCCCACCCAATGTCACTGCTTCCTTGCCAGCGGCCCGAGCTCCCTGACCGGGAAACCCAACTGCACTGGCCCATTGTTGCCCCCGGTTTGGGGCAACGGCGGGGCGGTGACGACAGAACGAGGGATCGAAACGGAGAAGGCGCGCCCTGCCTAATTTTTGGCTGGCCCCGCTCCACTGTTCCCACCGGACTTGAGGAGACTTGGCAGGTGAGGTCCAGGTTCCGTAACATCTTTGTTTTTTAATTTTTTTAATTTTTGAGCTGTTACTATCTTTGGAAGAGAGAATTCCTGAGAAGCACTTAGCGCCGTGCTTGAGCAGGAATAAAGGCTCAGTCAGCGGCATCTGCTACTCTTCCTGTGACTGGGGACAGTGGGGTGGCTTCTGTTGCACTAAGGCCCCGGGGGTCTGTGCCTCCCCCACCCCCTCTCTCTGACAGGACCCTGATCAGGTGGCACTGGCAGTCACTTGGGAGATGAATCCCAAGGAAGCAGCCTGAGTTCTGGGCCTAGAAAACTCTGCCAAGAGTTTTCCCTTCACAAACCTTTCTGGAGTTCACGAGGCAGAGACGGCTGCAGCTCCAGAGTAGCCCTGGGGGCAAATCTCGCTATTTCTAGAAGGAACCATTTCCTTGTACGGTTTGCCTCTGCCATTTCCAGGAACTTGGGGTCTAAGAAGGGGTTCCCAGAAGCAGGAAGGGCTAGACACACCAGACTGAGCCTCCAGAAGAAGACTTCCTTCATTCACCATTCATTCAGTTATTCAGCAAACCTTCGTTGAGAAGTTTCTGGATGCCGAGCTTCCTGCTAGAGGCTGGGGCTTCCGAGATGCAAGACCATCTCTGGGCTGAAGGAGAAAACAGAACACTGTGACGACAATGCGCAGGCCCTGCGGCAAGTGCCATGGGAGCAGCCGCCCTGGAGGCCAGCTTCTGGCAAAGGCAGGTGTGTGCACAGACCATAAACAAGAGAGGGCGCAGCCTGCGGGCGGGACGGGGAGCCCTTCCACCAGCAAGAGTAAAGCTCCCGAGGGCAAGTGGTGGTTTAAAGAACAGAGGGACAAAGGAGACAGAGGTCAGCATCCAAGGAGTTGTACCCCACACAAAGGAATTGGCCCTCATCCTGAAGCTGATGGAAAGCCATCTCTACCAAAGGACCTACTCTCTACCCCTCAGTCCATCCCCTCACCACTGTAAAAGCTACAACTTCTGCATCAAAGGTGGTATCCCCATCCATCCTGGAAGTAAAGGGAGAATCTAAAGCAACCAATAAACCTCTCTGTCAATAAAGTTGGGACCGCTCCTTAAAAGGCCACCAGCCATGGGGCTCTTTCTTCCCCTGTTTTGACTTACTGAAAAATGGTCCGCCCGGTATCCTGAGTCACCTTTATCATTTTACTGAGAAAGTTCCGTAGCATCGCCCTGGAGTTCCAGGTACAATAAATATTGGGTGGACAGGTGGATAAAAGGAAGGACAAACGATAAATGCAATTAGCACCAAAATTGGTAAATAGACGTACCTGCCTGTACGTGCACAGACTGTCTTTGGGAACTGTGATGGCCCGGGAGGAAGGGAAGTGGATTCCAGGGTTCAAGGGTAGAAAAAGAGACTTACCTTTCACTATTCACCCTTTTGAAGTACCTCGATTTTTTACCACATTCATTTAAAATACTTGAAAAAATAAATGTACAGACTGCCAAAACCTTCCAGCCAAAGGCTACCAGGAACACACTGTAGTCAAACAAAATGGGGTTTACTGACTCTTAGCCAATGAGGGAGAACATACCCCATGGGAAAGTATGGAGCGTTTCAGGAACAGAATATTAGAAAGGACTTATCATATTGGGCTTGTGTCAGGTGATGTTGAGGAGCATTCACAGAGGCAAGGCTTTGCTCTGGATTGGATACTGGTGTAATCCGACAATTGGGATCTTAATCTTAAGTATGTAGAAGGAGAGAAGAAAAGAGCAAAGTTACAGGGGTTATTGACAAAGCAGCCCCTGGCACTCATTATTCCGGATGGAGGATGGGTGTTCAGATTTTTGTGGTTTGGACAGTCATTTGTCCGTGTTCAGACATGATTACAGAGTGATCTTGTTTTTGTCTTTATCCATCAAGGGAACAGAGTGGGCTTGTCGGATGTCTGTATCTCGCAGAATTGTATATGTTTAATAGAACACTCTGGCCTAGCTGGGAGGCCAGGCCGTCAGCACCAAGAGCCAGCTGACCGTGCCAGGACAGCTCCAGGTGGCCAGGGGCTGCTCCTCTCTTTCTCGGCACTTTTCAAACTAAAGGTACAGATATCAATTCAATTAGTTGTTTTTACTCTGCTGCCTGAGAAGTATAGAAATTGAGCTAATTTTTTTTTAAAAATATGGATTCAACACTAAGTAACGATCGCTTCAGCAGCTTTTTGTGAGATACCAGAAAGCTTTAATACAATATATTCTAACCCCTGAGCTGGGGCAGGTCCCTGACGACGGGGCCACTGGGGGCTGGCATAGATGGTCAGGCTGTCTGACTCATCACCGCGATAGTGAGGTCGCGTGGGCAGAGGTTGGTGTCAGCTCCACAGATGTGGTCAGCTTGGGCTGCTATAACAAAGTAACATAGACTGGGTACTTTTTAACAAGTAGGACATTCAGTTGTTGAGAGGCAGCAGCTCTGTTGGTGCGTGATTAGTTTAAGAGTTTCCTCTCTCATCTTCCTTTCCTGTCTTCCTATCTCTTCAATCTTTTGGGAACCCTGTGGGACAGTCACATGAACCATTCAAACCAAACTGTATTTCTCACAGTTTTGGAGGCTCAGAATCTGAGATCAGGGGGCCAGCCTAGTCAGGTTGTGGTGAGAGTGTTTTTCCTGGTCTGCACGGATGGCCATTTTTCTCACTGTATCCTCACATGGTGGAGAGAGAGAGATGTCATGTCGCTTTTCTAAGAGCACTCATTCCATCATGAAGGCCCCACTCTCGTGTCCTCATCAAACCCAAATTACAAAGGTCCCATCTCCAAAGGCCATCCAATTGGGGATTCAGGTTTCAAAATATGAATTTGGGGGTACATAGACTTTCAGTCCACAGCATGCCCTGTTCAGATCCAGAAGCTCCCGCCCTGGAAAAGAGAACTTCTTAGGGGATCATCAGTGTGGCAGGTAATGGGCCAAGTGAACCTGGCACAGGACTTTCTCATGACAAGCTCAGACTGAGGGTCAGGGGACCTAGTTTCTGGACCACTTCTCCTACCAGCCCACCTCATGATCAAGCCCCTTCCCCTCCATGGCCTTCAGTTGCCTCATCTGTAAAACGGCAGGAGAGAGAGAGAAGGTGGGAGTAAACCAGATCTTCCATATGATCTTTTCCTTGATTCTGAGGCATAACTGCTCCCAAGGCAGGTGATGAGCTGATTTCAACCTCTTCTGGTAAAGGCAAGAGACCAGGTGCACTGGAGACAAGCCAGCAGATCTGGCTAGAGAATCAGCCTCCATGACAAGCAAGTGGGTTTAGATCTTATGGACACTTGGAGGGCTACACCTCCCCACACCTGCATCAGTTCTTAACCCCCAGCAAATGAAGCAAGACAGGAGGGGCACTGAGCTTCCCTGAAAGATTTGACATGGAATTAGCTGATAAACTTCAGGAGGACAGTGAAAAGAAGAAAGGAGGTAGAAGAGAATTCTGGAAATGGCTCCATCTGACGTGGGCTGCTGGGGTCTGTTTCAAAGTTAGGTGGTGGGGGTGATGGTTTCTTTTGCTTGGCATCCCATACTCCCTCCTTCTGCCCATTGAAAGAAATTCTCCAGATGTGGGCTAATGGTGTTGTCTGTAAGCTGTTTAAATTGGCCAAGGGGGCCATTTGCTTTGGATGGAAGATAGTCATCTTCTTGGTAAAATCTGACCCAGGACATTCAAGACCTCCAAATGCCTGGTGTCCCAGTTGGGCTGGCTGCTGAGGTGTCCATTCAATAAACTCCAAAGCCCCACATCTCATTCCCACACCTGCGGTGCTTCAGGTCACCAAGGACCCATCCTTACCACCAGCATCTTTTGTCAATTGTCTCCAGAAGCTGGGTCACGAGAAATGGGACAAAAAGAGGCCCTGGATTCCTTCCCTCCCAGGACCTCACATTCTAAAACCGTCTTGATTTTTATGGAGAAGTAAGGGGAGTTTTAAAGTTAATATGTAAATTTAATGGCATTGAGTGTTGCAGTTTAAATTTTCATTTTTTAACAAGTAGAACATTAAGTTGTTGAGACGCCACAGCTCTTTTGGTGCGTGATTAGTTTATTACGAGTTTCCTCTCTGACCTTCCCTTCCTGCCTTCCTATCTCTTCGATCTTTAGGAAATGCTGTGGGACAGCCACATGAACCACTCAAACCAGGAACTGGAGATTTGAGATACGGCAGCTTGAAAGCCTCCAGTGAAAATTTCTGAAGGCCGTCCCTTGGGACAAGTGGATTAATTGTTATTTGGGGAAGAGGAGAGATTGTGTTTCTCTCTGGGGCCTCACAGGAGCAATGGTTTGAGAGTTTTGTCCCTTAAGCAAATGTGAGACCTTGGATGGTCCTAGAGACCTCGTATGGGACACGTTGGGTGCCCTGACTCACACCCTCTTGCCGTCATCTGACGGACTTCTGATGTGGTTGGGAGGGGGTCATTTCTGATGGGTCTGACTCACTGCACTTTGGATGGCTTCTTCCTCTTTGACTGGAAGTGTGGAGCAGTTAATAATCCCCAGGGGCAGCCATTGGTGGCTGGGAGATGAGAGGGTATGGATAAATGCTCCACCTGCCATCTTTAGGGGGGACACGCATGCCTGAGAGACGCTCTGTGCTCTCCTTGGGAGATTCGGGGAGCTGTGGCATGCAGTGGCACCCTCCCTACCCAACCCTTCCTTTCCTGCTCACCCCCTCCCTCCTGCTCCCTCAGATCTCCTGTCTGAAAGCTCTTGTCTTAGGCTCTACTTACAAGAGAAACCAAAGTAAGACAGACATGCCAGAATCAGGCTGACAGAGCCCTGGCCATCACTTTGTCGTGGCAAGTGGCTGACAGACTTGGATTCAAAGCTCAACATTACCTTCCTATACATATCTACACAAGCTGCATGTATCTACACAAATTACCTTCTCTGGAGCAGGCAGCAATTAGGAAACGTCAAAGGTCCTCGTTAAAATGATCAGCAGAAGGGAATGCCTGGGTGGCTTAGTCAGTTAAGCGTCTGCCTTCGGCTCAGGTCATGATGATCCCAGGGTCCTGGGATCAAGTCCCACATCGGGCTCCTTGGTCAGCGGAGAGCCTGCTTCTCTCTCTCCTTCTGCCTGCCACTCCCCCGCCTTGTGCTTGTGCTCTCTCTCTCTCTGTCAAATAAGTGAAATCTTAAAAAAAAAATTTTTTTCTAAACATGTTATTTAAAAAAAAATGATCAGCAAAGGAAGTCATTTTACCCACTGGGATTCATGAGGACCCTCCCTGAATGGAGGACAGCATCTTTTGGCCTTCAAGAGCTAAAGGGACAGAAACTCTAAACTTGAATCCAGCCACCCAAGGCACACAACAGCCCAGACTGGCAACTTCAGTCCCCCCACACAGTGTCCCAGCCCCGCAGGTGAGGAAGCCCAAGGGCACCTGTGGCTGTCATCTCCTGATCACTCTTTTCCTCCATTTCCATCTGATTCCCAGTCTTTCATTTATCCTGGTACTCAGCTAATGTTTCCCCTGCTGTTCAATTGCCAAGGGAACCATTTGCTTTAGATGGAAGGCAGTTCATCTTGGTAAAATCTGGTGCGAGATCTTCATGGTAGAGTCAGATGTGCCAAGCATAGCCCTGGGCATTCAGCCATGTTGGTGCTCACCTCACCCCCACAGATCCCAGCCTCCACAGAACCTCCAGCCCACTACACTGCCTCCAGCCACTCTGGGACGACCCCTTCTTCTCCAGCACAGCCCCAGGACCCTCAAGCTGCCCTCCCACCCGTGAGTGCAGCCCCCACAGTGAGGCCTGAACAGACACAGCCAGGGATGTTCAGCGGGACGAGGGACCCACTGCCAGAGTGGTCTAGAAAATAAATAAGAAAAAGCTGAGCCAGGGACTGCAGCTTGTGCCACTTCTCATTCCCATGGGGCCACAACATCCAAACAAGGTTGGGTGCCCTCAGGACTCATTGTAACACAGAGAATCCTCAGGCTGGATTGCCAGCAACTCGGTGTGTCATAATCCTTACCTGTGGCTGTTCCCAGACACGCTAGAATTCTGCATTGTCCTGGTACTGTTTTCCAGATCTTTCTTTAGGAATCAGAGATGAAGGGCTTAACTTGAAATGTATAAATAGAGACAACGTGCTCCCAGGTGGAGGGTCAGATATTCCAAGTCCCCAGCCCCAGAGGCTAATGATTCTGAGGATTTCCGTCCCACAGCTGGGGGAACTAGAAGCTAAGTGGTCCCACTCACTCCTTTCCCCCACTAACCCGGCTCCATTTCCTGCTCTCCCTCCTCCCCAGTCCCTCAAGCACACAAATACCCCAAGCCAGCAGAAACCCTCTGATATGCCAAACTTGATGGTGGAAGTTGTTTCTTTTTTCACTTCTTAGCCCAGGTGAAAGCATTTGAGTACCGCCCAAGGGCTGCTGGGAACGAAGTAAATACTGAAGTTATTTATCCCAAGGAAGTACTTATGTTGGGGTATCCATGACCTGCAGCCCCTGGCTGGAAACTTGACCTGAGGACTACAGGGGGAGGGAGGGGACTCAAACAATCTGGCCCTGGTTCTCACCCAGCCATTCCAGAGCCCTTGTCCACTTGGAAGGCCGTGAGGCAAGAATAGCCCGGGGGCAGAGCACAGGGGCCTGTCCTCCTCTCTGCCTCCTGTACCCCTCCCAATCTGGGTGTGCCCTGGGCCCAGGGTGGGCTTTGCTGGACACTTCTCAACAGAGGAAGGGGCGAAGGCCATAAATCGAGTGCAAACTGTCCCTTCACACCCCATCATGTTCACCTGCTCTCTCTCCCAGCCCCTCCTCCTTCTGAGGTCAGTCCCACTCCAGCAGGGACACACGCACGCTCCCACAAACACAGAGCATGTATTGCTGACGCACCAAACCCCTCTCTGGGCGGTGCTCCATTGCAAGCAAAGTTCCCTTCTACTTGGGCCTCGACTCCCTGCCTCCAGCGCTGGGTCCGGAACCAGGGCCTTCCTTCCCAGTGCCATGCCCTCACCCCTCTCCCAGGGCTCTCATCCTGAGAGGGAGCGGGCTCAGCAAGCCCCTGCCCCACTCTCAAGCTGCTCTCTCCCCTTGGGGGTCCACTCTGGGTGTCCTCCTTGCAGGCCTAAAGACCTGTCCCTGCTTGCCTGGCCACTTCCCTCATTGTCTTTCCCTACACTCTGCCCTCTTAGAGTGTAGGACGTGGTCATGGGGCTGGAGATATGATAACAAGGCTCTGCCGATGGCCTTGGCTATTCAAGAGCTGTGGGAGCCTCCAGTGAGTCACCTCTTTGGGCTGGGCCTTCTTAGCCATAGAAGCCTGTCCTGCTCTGTCTACATCTCCCCCCCACACCTGGTGCCCAAGCCCCCCCCCCTTCCACAACTATTCCCCTTCAGTCTGAGCTTTATGCTCTTGGTTTACTGTTGTACTCTAATTCCTCACCTCAGAAGCCTCTGTCAGGCCTCTTCAGGTGGCCTCCTAGCCCAGCACCTGTGGCCTAGACAAGTCCCAACCCTAGGGAGACCTCACTGTTCCCATTTCTACCACAGAGTACCTAAAGCCCTTGGAATTTCCTAAGTGATAAGGATGATAAAGGTGTCTTTTTTAAAAATTTTATTTATTTATTTGAGAGAGAGAGATCACAAATGGGGGGAGGGGCAGAGGGAGAGGGAGAAGCAGACTCCGCGCTGAGCAGGGAGCCCAACATGGGGCTTGATCCCAGGACCCTGGGATCACGACCTGAGCCGAAGGCAGATGCTTAACTGACTGAGCCACCCAGGCGCCCTGGACTGGTAATCTGGTAAGAAAAATGGTTTTCTGAGTTCTGTGAGCCACTGCAGCAAACTCATCGAACCCAGGGAAGAGGTTGTTGGAATCTCCAAGCTACAGTCAGAGCACAGCTGACAATAAGGACTTGCGCTTAGCAAGTGGAGTGGGGGATGGTCTTGCAGAACTGAGCCCTTAACCTGTGGGGTCTCACCCTATCTCCAGGCAGATAGTATCCGAATTCAGCTGAATTGTAAGTCACCCAGCTGCTGTTAGAGAACTGCTTGGTATGGGGAAAGAGCCCACCATGCCTTAGAATTGAGTAAAGAATTGTACCCCTACCCTACTCTTTTGTCTTTTTTTTCTGTACCCATGTACCTACTAATACACAGTGTAATTTATTTTTTAACATGTTCATTGTTTATTGGAGATCTCCCCCACGAGTATAAACTCTGCAGGGAAATGATCTTTGTTTTGTTCACGGTTGCCCTCTGAATTCCTAGAACAGTGCCTGGCATAGAATGGTACTCAATTTATTGAATAAATGAATACATTCTGCCTTATTAATTTATCTTTAAAGATTTTATTTATTTATTTATTTATTTGAGAGCAAGAGAGAGAGCAGGGGGCAGAGCAGAGAGAGAGGGACAAGCAGACTGTGCAGAGCATGGAGCTGGACGTGGGGCTTGATCTCACAACCTGGAGACCATGACTTGAGCCAAAATCAAGAGTTGGACACTCAACCAACGGAGCCACCCAGGCGCCGCATTTCTGCCTTATTTACTGATGAGTGTTTTAAACCCCTGTTCTCCTACTACAAGGAAGGAACTTAAGAGAGGTTGGGTCTTTTTTTATATTTGTGTTCTCCAGGGTGCCTGGCCCAATGCATGGTTTGCCGTAGGGAACAATAAATGTTTTGGTTTTTTTTAAGATTTTATTTATTTATTTGACAGAGAGAGATAGTGAGAGAGGGAACACAAGCAGGGGGAGTGGGAGAGGGAGAAGCAGGCTTCCCGCCAAGCAGGGAGCCTGATGCGGGGCTCGATCCCAGGACTCTGGGATCATGACCTGAGCCGAAGGCAGACCCCTAATGACTGAGCCGCCCAGGCGCCCCTGTTTTTGTAATTGAATGAGACTCAAGACAAAGACCCATGCCCAAGAGGTCCAGAGAGGGGCACTGGTGAGCGTCTTCAGTGAGTTGAAAGCCAGAGGTCAGTTGGAAGCGTTGTCTCAGGTCCTCCCTTGGGACCAATTCAGGGCAAGACTTATGGATGGCACGAGAGGAAAAGAGGTGTTCTTAGGGCCACTGTTCCTGAGTCTGCTGAGCCTTGGATGTGCACACACAGAAGGATGACACCCTCGAACATGCCTCAGGACAATAGAAAGGGCCTTTACCAAGAGGAGACAACCTTAAGGAGAACTTCACACTGACTTCTCTCTATTGTATGAATTAGAAGTTGCAAGATTGGGGGGGGCTTTTTTCGTCAGGGACTCAAAGTGTGTGGCCCAGAAAACATGAAGAACCACTAGCCCACAGAACCCCAGGGGGAAATCCCAGAATCCTCCCACCCCCTCCCACCTTGCTTAGCCTCCACCAGCCCACTCAGAGAATGGAGCAGAGCCTTCTGAACACTCACAGGCCACCACCACGGGTCCGTGAATGGGCTCAGGGCAGCAGAAGGCAGGAGACAGCAGAGGCCTGTCCTCAGCCTCATTCCCCTTGGCTCTCCCCTTACCAGGAGTTTCCAGGCTTGAGGAGAAATTGGGGTTTATTTTAGGAAAGAAATGTTTAGAGGACAAGTGGCAGAGAGAAGGAGCCGGATCCTTCATGGGCCTGAGTCTCTGCTCCTGTCCCTATGGTTCCTCCAAAGTGCCAGCCCCATGAACTCAGTCGGCTCCACAGCCCCACATCAAGAACCCACATGTTGGTTGGATCACAGCAGCTGAATCAACAGCAGAATCAACAGATGAGAACACTGGGGGGGGGGGGTCCTGCCTCAAGCCTGGCACGAACAAGCCCCTAGGTTGCTTGTCTGGCAGAGCTTCAGACTTTACCCCCCTGACCTTAATGATCTCCCAGCCCACCCGTCCCCAGGCTCCTAAGCCCAGACCCAGAGCTCAGGGCCCCCTCAGCCCCGTCAGAGCCGAGAGGAAAAGCCGGCCACCACAATGTTCTCGCCGGTTATGTAGCTGGCATCCAGAGAGCACAGGAAGGACACAATCCCGGCACAGTCCTCAGGCTGCCCTATCCTGCA